ACAGCCACTGGTGTGGTTTTTGACTGTAACATGACGGGAGGGAGGCACACGGCCTGGGTGTGGGCTAATGATCTGAGCAAGGACTGACGTTCTTGAATAGCAGCAGCTGCAGCACCACCATTGTAGCTTTCCTCTGCAGCCCAGGCCGGTGCTATCCCGTGTGACACGGCTCTGATGCGCACTCTGCTTCCCCTGGGCACACACAGGGACAGGCTTTTTGCCAGACAGTTTTTGCAAAGCTGTTGTTGAGCAGGTTTTTATTTCCCCCTTTGCAAAAACGCAAGGAGTTTGCCCTTTGGGGCTGTCGAAGTCCCTAGTTAGTCCCAGAGGGCTCTTTGCCTTGTGACTCTCCCACTGGTGGGTCATTCAGTTCGGTCTTCCCCATGACTTCCCTGCTAGTCCCCCGCCCCCAACCACAACCACCTCCCCCCACTTCACTGTATTCCTGATAAGGGCTCTAGGGGGAAGCATTTTCCAAGCTTATCTTGAATAGCTTCAGGATTCAACTGCCTTGGGAACTGTCTTGTCACAGGGATAATTGGCAGTTTTGAGGTGGTGAATGACAGGGACTGAATGGAGGCTCAGAGTCGGTTTGATTTAGAATCATAGAATATCAGGGTTGGAAGGGACCTCAGGAGGTCGTCTAGTCCAACCCCCTGCTCAAAGCGGGACCAATCCCCAGACTGATTTTTTACCCCAGATCCCTAAATGGCCCCAAGGATTGAACGCACAACCCTGGATTTAGCAGCCCAATGCTCAAACCAGAGACCAATTAGTTGGTCAAATTAGATTATAAAAAAAACCCAATCAGCAAAACTGACACCCTCCCTCCTTGCAGCCTGTGTATACAGGGTGGTGATAGTCATGCTGCGCAGTTAGCCATGGGCTTAATGAAAAAGCAAATGCCACAGGCTTAAGGCCCAGGATGGGAACGACTCTGCTCTACAGTAGTGACAGATTTAAAGTCTACACCTTGACCTAAAGCCAGCGGTTTATACCACTGAAAGGGGAGAGCTTGGCCTGCTATCTAATGGGACCCACAGCTCTTGCATCTAGCCCTGGAAGGTTCTGAGACTGACGGAGAAGTTGTCTGGAAAAGCTACATTAGGCCATTGTTGAAGTGTTGTGAATGTTACTCGGGCTTCTGATTTGCATCATGGTAACTAAGGCATCTGCTCTAGAGGTGGAGAGAGGAGCTCTTCCTGTGGGGTATATTGGCACACATGCTGGACTGGGGTGGCAGAAAGGTCTTGATGGTTTGGGGGTAGTCTCACATGACTTAGTCACTCTAGCTGCCTACATCTCAGCCCCATTAACCCTTCATACACCACCTCATGAGGTGCATACTGTTTACAGCTGTGACTGTAAGAGGGCCAGGGAAGGGGGCTTCAGAATGTAGCCACCCCCTGCCACACACCAGTGAATGAGGAGGTGAAGGAATCACCCACATGTTTTTTTAGGATGAGTATTTACAAATAGGAAAATATTAAATAGGGACTGTGAAAAGTAAATCTGAAAATTTCTGTGGCAAAGTATGTCTTGTCTAGGGAACTAAGCTGTCCATAACCAGACCTTCATTTTCCTGTAGCCTGATTTGCTCTGAACTCTTTGGCGAATGCTTCCACTCACATTTCAGGCAGAGGGCAACATTAGCAAACAGCACCTCTGATCCTGCATTTAACCAGATTTTGGTGCTTTCACAATGGGTGAGGGGTTGGATTTGAAAGAGGCTGAAGCAAGAGCTGGTTTTGGGGATGCCGCTGTCAGGTCTGTACTGCCAGTGTATCAAGGGCTACATTGTGTGGGGTAAAAATTTACTAAAAGCCAGCCATCGCTCCTTTCACTGTTCTAACCGCTGCCTTGTAATTTCTATCAGTAGGAATACAACAGGGTTATCTAGCAGCTAGATATAGCAATTATAAACTGAACCTAACCCAAAATGCTAACTTCACATTCCAGTGTGCACCCATACTTAACTACAGAACTCTGTTCTTTGTGATCACACCACAAGCAAGAGAATCAGGGCCTTTTACACCTGTGCACCAGCCCTTGCAGCTAATGTCACAACACAGGTGCACCCAGTCAGTTCTGAGCGTGGCAGGGTGGAGGGGCTTTTCCAGGTTAGTTTGTGCTCCCCTAGTAATTCTTCCTCAATGTACTTAGGACTTTAATAGTCCCAACAGGGTTAAAAGAGGCTCTTTCAAAATATGATGCTAAGGCTAGCTAAGGTTGTAAGAGAATATCTCTGTGGTTGGTGGAGAATTAGCAGCAGATAAAATATATCTTTGCCTAGTAGGTCTCAACCTTTTCCCTTCTATGACCCTCCTCCCACCTAGCTGGAATCCAGGATAGACTTTTGTTCCATCTAGGACTATAGGAAGGTAGGTTAGTCACAGCTCCCTAGTTGAGAGCCCATGGTTAGAGCCCAGCACAGATACAAAACTTGTATCCACATCTGATGGGCAAATATGTCCATGGATATCTGCAGATTTGCAGGGCTCTACCTGTGATGATGTTTGTATATTTTCCCTACCTTAAACTCACTCTCTACATAGAGCCATTCCTCTGAGTCTTTTGCTTTCTATAGAGCTTTCCCTGCTTGAGTATTTAAATTTCCTCTTATAATGTAGTTTTTCCTAAGTTCTCAGTGGGCTGCCAATGATTCATTTTTATAGTCCCTGCCCCTATCAGGGCGGACCCAGGGGACTTCCAGGTGTATCCTATAAAAGCAGCAACATATGCCCTCTCTCTGCCTGAGTAAGTTGATTCTAGCCACACTGGAAAAAAGTGTCTCTTGAGGTTAACCCAACTGTAAGGTAAGGTTTTAAGAAAAACCTCCTAGTTTTATTATACTAAGCCATAGTTCTCCTGTCACACACAAAGTTACAGCAAAAGGTTCAGAGAAAGTAACAAGCAGGATCCAAATAAAATTGCATATTTATTTCTCAGCATCTTCCCTTCACTTTTAGAAAGAATAAGAATGGCTGTCCCAGCCACAGTCTCCAACTTCAGGGAAATCAAACTTATTTTGTGAGAAGAAAAACCCATGTGAGCCTGGATTTCAATTTAATACACAACTTTAGATAGAACAGCTGGATACTGCTTCTGGTTCTGCAAACAGAGCCCAGGAATTGTATCTGACCGGCTCCTTTTGCCATTAGCTGTTAACTTGTGGATTTTGGTTGTATTTCTCTTAATGACTGTAAGTGACTATGGTACTGGTGAAAGGTGTGGGAGTAATACCCCTGCAGGGTGCAGTTCTCCTCTTAACCCCTAGAACAAGTACAGTTAAGGCACCTGAAACTCCCTACTACAAGGGGGGAAATTGTCCTTTGCACCCTGACTCTTCCAAATTGGATTGAGAAATGCAGACTCACTGTAATTCCCCAAATAACTGCTAGCACCTGTGGGTTACAACTGAGCTAGTCGGGATTTGACAGCTCAATGCATGCTTTTGTACTGATTTAACTATGTTGGCTTAGAACAGTTAAATCTGCAGCCTCTTTGAGTGGGTGTTATCCTGATAAGGGTGTTATTTGTATAATTTACTCCTAAAATGTAGCTCATTTCCATAAATATATAACCATCTTTTATACCAATATAATCTCATCCTTGCTAGAAGACTGCATGGCTTTAACTATCTGTTTCTAAACCTATATAGGTAATAGGTAGAGCCTTCCAGGGAAACAACTCCCAGAGCCAGTTTTCCATCACTCTAACCATTACTTCCCCTACCTATAATAAATGTTGAGTAGAGCTAGGCAGCACTTTCCAACCAGAAAGCTTTCCTGCAAAAAAAGAGGGGTGGGGGTTCTGAAGTCCTCCCTCCCCCCCCCCCACCAGGAAAATGTCATTTGATTATTTTTTTTTGCAATGAAAGTTGTTATAATTTTGGAGCTTCAGTTCTTCCACTCGTGCCACCAAATGCAAAAGATTGAATGGAGTTGAATGGTTTATTTCTCCCTCTGCTTTGACTTTTCTAAATGCTCTCAACTTTGGAGGATTGGCAAAGCTAAAGGGTTTCATTTTTCCTTTTGCCACTTACAATCTGTAGATTTTTCTAAAGTTGAGGAGGTTTTAAAGAGTGAAGAAATGAAAATATGCCCCTGGACACTACTCCTTTAATTGTGTTCAGTGGAAAAAGGGAGGGAAACAATTATGAAATTCTGAAAATTCACAATTTTGCAAAACAAGAATTGTTCTAGTGTTCTTCAAAACAGAAATAACTTCTAATTTTGGTGTGAAATTGTTTTTCCTTCTCAAGCTGCTTTAACACTGAATCCTTTTCCTGATCAAAACCAAATGACTCTTCTTTTACAATGGGTTTGAGAGGGGAATGGTTCAGCAGGTGACCTGTGACAGTTGGATTCTAGCAATGTTAATAGCAAACATCTATGGCCACACCCAATCTCTTCTTGTGTTTAGAAAGAAGAGGGTTTTTTAAATCAGGGAAGTATAGGAACTAGCATTATGTAACCTACACTAAACTGCTGCTTTCAAGTCATTTGGATTTGTTGGTCAGTGTTCCCTGAATAGCTTAGGAGTTACCTATGCTTTTAGCCTTCTGTTCTAAGAAACTGGTTTTGAAGAATTACTTTCCTTATTCACAGTTACCTGTGTAGTCTGTCGGTGATCCAGATGCATTAAGCAAACATTGCCTGTGCTGTGAATGGGTGATATCGAGATCAGGGCTGTGCTAAATGGGTTGCATGTAATATAGAAATGGAGCTATTGTGTGAGGCTGTTAATACATTTTCTTCCTTCACATTTGTCTTCTGAGATCAATTGTATGAAATAAACGGAGTTGTTTTGTACCACCTTGAAAAAGACAGTCCAGAGAACCCCACACTGGCAATAGGAACATGCTTATTTTTCGTTATTTGTATCTTGGTGTCTCGGCTGCAGCCTGCCATTAGAATAACTTAACGGTAATGCTACCATGGCACTTGCTAAGCCTACAGTGTAGAACAATTTTCGATTCCATTTTAGCTCACTAAAGATTTAAAAATGAAATGTACATACTCTTTATTTTGTAGGAATACACTGTAATTGCTTTACAGAGTCCAGTATACCAGTTGCATGTAATTACTACAGATGAACTTGCCCAACTGGAGCTCACAAAACTAGTGCATTTATCCCAAAGCAAAGACTAAACCCTCTAACTCTTTAAAAAAATACATTAAAGAACGTACCACACACACATATTGCACTTTTCTCCATATGAAATTTTTACCCCATATACATCTCACCAAAGTCTCTTCAAAGGAGCCTGTAATACAAGATACTAAAGGTAATACTTAACTATACAGTAGTATACACAATCCTCTAATGTTAGACACAACAGACTTGAACAAAAGCAGCCACTTCAAAGTAGCATGAATACAACGAGTGGTGCCCACAAAATAGTCTAGTGTGGCATTAGAAATGTTTTAAAGAAAATGACATGAAATGTTAAACAGGCTGTTAGTTGAGGGAGATCTAAGCTACTTCATGTTCATAACATTCAAAACTCTTTAGCTCCCTAGATACCTGCATTCCAAAACTCAGCAGTTTAAACTAGTTGGGACACTCTGGTAAAGAAATGACTAAAATGAGTTGAGATCAAACCACAACAATAATTCTGCTCTCTGTGCCCCTGAATCCTGATCCATGGCAGCCTACGATGTATGGGGTGGTAGGGTTTGTTGTGGAAATAGTTAAGAAAAGAGGCAGGCCATGTTTTGTAACTCAACTCCCTGTGCAGAACTGGGCTTCTGAATTTATTGTTCATGCTATGGAGACATTTCCATATCCATTGTTTGCTTCTCCCTCTTGCAGCTCTCTAGGTATTCAGCTTGGCCTTGTATGTCCACAAATGTTTGCTTAATATTTAAGGGGGGCCCCCTTTCTGCCCACTCTTGCAGCGTGTGGTCACCTGCCTTGGTGAGATGTTTAGACTTCACTGGACCTCTTTGCCATCTAGCCATAAAGAAAGGGGTAAGTGGGCACAACCTCCATGCTTTAGCTTACATGGGATTTCAAATTGCCCACCAGCAATGACTTTGGAATCAATGTGTAGTCAATACAAAGCCTTGATTGAACAAATCTGACTGCACTACCAGTGGATTAGTGACCAATATTACACAATGTGCTGTATAAACACCACAGGTCAGTCAGATTTTAGCGTACTAGGAAATAAGGCAATTGCTGGCAGCAGTGCTGAACTTTTTCCTGTTTAAAGCTGACTAATATATAGTCACTAGTATTTTTTTTTACCTTTGCCGTGTAAATACTGTATTATTGCTCTGTGTGCTGGCTGCTTATTCTCTGAAGGGGAAAAATGGTTCTGCAGTCTGATTTTTGATAACTCTGTTTATGACACGAAATTAGTTGGTCAGAAAATCTGATTATAAACTGACTGGGCTTTTTCTCAATGTATCAGGAATTCTTTCTTCTGCTACCACCAATTCAGTTCACTGTCTTGGTGCTTTATACGGTGCCTGGAGAACTTGCCCGTGGGTCAGTGTAAAGTGACAGCCTGGATTTGGTGGGGTTGGGAACTTGCAACAAGACTTCGATTTGAGAGCAAAGTCTCAGGTGCAAGGTTGGTGATTGTGTAGTGATAGACACAGATGGCGCTATTAGCATATTTAGCCTCTTTCCTCACTTTGAACTTAATGAAAAGGGAAAACCTTCCAGACAACAAAAGGTGTTTTTCATAAGCAGTACCTGCTTCTCTGCTGTTCTTTGTGCTTTAAAGAACCTGCATTGTGCTTAGTGTGTTCATCTGCTCACAAAGGGCTAAACTCTCCAACTATGGGGTACTAGGTTCTCCTTTAATATTGTCTCACAGTATTTCAAACACTGGAGACATCCCAAATTATGTTGATTACCTATGTCCCGTCTATGGATCCAAAGCCCAGCTGCTGTCTGGCATTTTGTGAACTGCAAGGGTTTGGAGACTCAAGTGCTTGCTCGAAGTGAGTATCTGTTGAAATGGTTAATATAGCAACAGTTCTTAACACTAAATATTGCTGTAATACTTTTAACATTTCACATATAGATGAGCAATCAAAACACTAAGGAAGTTACATTGTATTCCACATGGTGGAACACGTGCTCTGAAGTGACTTTGGCTTTAGCATGGATATAAATGGGGTATTGTCTACTTTCTTCAGGAAAAAAAGCATATAATCTGATAAAGAACCCAAAAAGGCACAGCACTATCACTTCACATGGGGTTTTTAAGCTCCTTTTGTTTTGTCCTTAAGTTCTAAAACCTAAATTGTCCAAATATACAAAGCTTAATAAACCACCAGCAACGCAGACTGTAAATTCAAAATAGTTATTTTTAAAAAGCGACAGAGGACAGATGTATCCTCTCCAGTGACCAGAGCTGCTCCAAGGCAGAGGCCTCCACAAGAGGCTGTCTGCAAAAAGGGTTGATTTCTAATGCTACCCTGGCTGACCTTTTCGACAATGTCATTTGCTGCAGTTGTAGACCTCCTCTTGGTACTTTCACATCTCTATTAACTGATCCTTTACCTTTGGAGTATTCTGTACCCCATTCAGAGGCCTCTAAAAACACTGCAGTGCCCCATGTCAGACCTAGCTATCTTTTGACTAGGTCAGTGTATCATTTTGTTAAAGTTCCAGAAACTTCCCATGATGGGCAATTAGAAGGTTTTTGGCAAGTTTGGGGAAACACTGTTTGCTAGCAGGAGGATGTGAAGTCTGTTGGAGAAACACCTGGTGTCCTCTGAGACTTACTGTGGACTAATTCAACATCAGTAGCTTAGAACCAACATTTCAATGCCAAAGTGCAACTTTCCTTTAAATCCACCATGCACTAAAATTTCAAGAGTTTTTGATTTGCCTTCAGGTTACCCAAGTCTGAGTTCCAATGAAAAATATATTGCTTTTATTGCCAAGAAGTACAATGCGTCACTCATTCGTTCTCCTTTCTTTTGCAGATCTTTAACAGGTTTCATCTGGTACTGGATGGATGCCAGCAGAGTATCCAGTTTTTGGAAGGGCCCCTTTTCTTTCTCTCAAAACTACATCTGTAATCTCCTTCTCTGCAAACTGGTTCTTTATTTGACCAAACTGCACTATCCATCTCCAGCCCCTGCCACCGGGTTTGTGGCATAGTACTGACAGGATGAACTAATGGCTGTGTAGCTTTTAGCCATCTCCGGCTTGTACCAGTCAGGTGGCTTTTACATCCCCCAGTAGGTCAAGGGTTGGAAAATAAGCCATGAATTTTAGGGTTGGAACAAAAATGAAAATTCACATGCTTTTCCTTCACTTCACCTGTCTTCCATTCTTAAGTTAACACTGCAGGGTGGCTAATTCACCAAGACATAGCCACTATGTTGGGGGTCAACAGTCTCCATCATTTCGCAATCAAAAAGTCCTGGCAACTCTGAAAGGGCTAACGCCTCATAGTTGGATTGAGACTCATGAGATGCTGAGCTCCTCTGGCTATCTGGTGATGCTACATTGCTTTGCTGGGCTGGGTTCATGGAATACTGGCACTGGTTTGGGTAGTCTGGCTCAGAAGAGGGGACGACTGGCAATTCACAAGTCTGATAGGAATATTGTAAGGGCGGCGGTGGTGGCTGCTGCACGTGAATCTGCGATGGCAGCCGAGGGGAGCTGTGGATCTGTGATGGCGGCAATGACTCCAGCTGCAGTTTCTGATACTGGCTAAGGAAAGGGTCATATTGCATTTGTTCTGAAGAAGGCTCCATTACAGGGCTCAAGGGCTGTGCCAGGCTGAACTGTGGCGGCGGCTGCTGCTGCTCCTCCTGGCCTGGAAGGGGCAGTTGACTTGAGCTTGGGTATGCGCTTTCGGCTATTTGCATCTGGTTAAAATAAGCCTGCAGCTGGGACTGCTTCTGGAGGAAGAGTCTCTTCTGATGCAGCCTGAATCAAGGACATCAACAGGAATTATTTTCAGTCTTTGAAATATTAATACTTAGTGAGATTTGTCTGCTAATCATTCTAACAGCAATGGCAGAGGAGAGTGATGAAACGTACACTGGGTTCCATAACCTTTGAGAGAGCCAATCCCTAAACTGCTAGTTGGGTTTCATTTACAGTTGAACCTTGTTAATTGTCACTTTGCTAATCTGCACACTCAACACGTCTCTCCCAGCTTCTTAGCAAAGGTGCAATAGCAGAGACAAGCAGTGAGGTCTCTCATGGCTAACGTTACAGAACATATTCTAATAGACTATGAAGTATTGTCCTGAACAATTAAAACTAGACTATGCTTAGCAAATAAATAAACCTTATGCACTATGCAATGCAGCAGGAATAATGTATTGAAAAAGCCCACACTTCACCCCCACAAAAATGCTAAGGTTGCTTGATCATAAAAAAATTCTCATTAATCAACATCCCAACTTCAACCAAAAATTGTAGATCCATTTGCTTTTTTGTTTGTTTGCTACTTGTTAAATTTCAGAATTCAGCAACTGACAGTCTCCCCAGTTCCCAGTGCAAATTAGTGAAGTACCACTGTTCCTATTTTGTGACCTGCATCATCATCTTGGATTTTAACAAACACCCATGCTCTTCACATCTGACAAACAGGAAGAACTTAATATGAGGACTTTTATTTCATAGCTACTGTTGGCAAATTCCAGGGATATCACAAAAGTGGGATCTCCAGTCAGCCAATTTGCAGGACATCCAGAAATATGAAGTCCTTTCCTGCCTAGTCTCTGCAGTAGAGGTGGTACAAGACTGTTCCCAGCTCACCTAGTTTAGGTAGTTTACATTTCCTTACACGCAACCTTCTTTTCTTTATTTAAGACCTGAAAAAGCACATGAAGTTGCTTAGGTCAGCAAGATAGTGTTCTGGATGGTTGTCAGCCTTAGCTCTCAAGCAAGAGTCGGCATTACCTCTCAATTCTACAGCCACTCTTGACGCTCACTCCAGATATAAAGGGACAACACCAAGAAAGTAAGTGAAGATTTCAAGTCCCTCTACCAGTGTTTGTGGATTACAAACACGTGGATTATGTGGATATGTCTCACTATATCAATTCCCTGCCATTGCAGGGGCCTTGGACATTGGTGCACCTTCATCCTTCCTGCTCTCTGCCTCTGGCACTCAAGAGTTGAGTCTCCTGAGGGCTGTTATACTTTTGTCTAATTCTGGCTGTAAGGCCAGACTCCTTCTGACCTTCAATTCTGTGACTCGTTCACACAAACCAGAGCCAGTTTTTAGCTGACTGTTATACAGGCCTTTGTATACCGTTGCTCTTTTTGCTTTTGTATCAGTTTTCTCTGTCTGCTGTTGAGCCTAGCAATTTAAATACACAGAGAAAACAATGAAACCGGTTACAAAAAGAGGGGGGAAAAAAGGGGGGGGAAGAGACAAAGATGTCTCTTCCAATCTAAACTCTGTTATTGTAGACATTACAACAAGCAAGAGAGTTTGAGAAGTGTCATTTTTAAATTGATTGTCCCTTTGGATGTCTGTCAAAGCCTGGCTCACAGGAATTCCTCATGTTTTGTGGTAAAATTATCTGGTCATGGAAAAAAGGCAGGAAATACCCAAATGACTGCAGGGATTCCGAGACACCACATCATTCATGTTCTGAGTTACCATAAATATTGCAATACATGGTACAGAAACTTTCACTGGAAACCATGAGTACAGAAGTATAGGAACACTGCCCCCAATTCACAGAACCTCTGCACACTAAAGAAAGCTCAGGACACACCATTATCTGCTGAATCAAACTTTTATGGTCCTTTATCATCACTGCAGTAGTCAGCAGTGGTGACTGTTGGGACCCAGCTCCCTGTCAGTCTCGCTCTCCTCCACTGCATAGAGGAAGTGAACAGGGCTACACTGTAGGGCTGGACTCAGGAGGGAAGCAGAAGGCTGCACCCTGTGAGTATCACACCCGCCTCTGCTCCTCCCCGGACAGAGCCCCAGCTGACCCTGCCGGCCCATCAGCCTGGCCCCATAAGCAAAAAATTCCCAGATCCTGAAAAGCCAAAATTTGGGTGAAATTGGCAAAACTTGAATAAAATCTAGGAATTTTTCAGCAAAAATTGGTAAAATACTGATAATGAAGGGCCTTAGTACTGTTTTCGTAGAGATTTTTAGATGAGTTTGCCTGTCCCAAGAATGTCTCTGTTCTCCTATTACTCTGGGAGGAAGTTGCATGCAAATTACTCATCTACCCAGATTCTGAACCATAAGAACGGCCGTACTGGGTCAGACCAAAGGTCCATCTAGCCCAGTATCCTGTCTGCTGACAGTGGCCAATGCCAGGTGCTCCTCACCTGTGCTCTTGTAACTGCTGTTCCAGGCTTCGGGGCAGTTCTTTGCAGTACAGCTGGCAGGTATTCTGCGCTTTTGACAGCAGGCTGGGTTTCTGCAACAGTACCAAAAGATGATGGATTTAAAATGTGAAATGAAATGCACTGTTTTAAATGGATGTGAGTCCAGGAGAGAATGAACTGTCCCATAAAGCCTCAGCTGGGGAAGTACTTGTTTATCCTATCACAATGTGAGGGTTTTTAAGAGATTGGGGGCAGCATTTTCAAAAGTGGATGTGCAAGTTTTGGATGTCCAACTTTAACCTATCTAGCACCTGGTTTTGCAGCACCACTAGTTACTGGTAGTGCCTAGAGGCCCCAATCAGGATCCTATTGTGCTAAGCACCTGTAACTAAAAGATAGTATTTGCCCCAAACAGCTTTCAGTCTAAGTAATCACCCTCAACTATAACTGAAGTTAGTGGTAGCTGGAGGTACTCTGCATTCTGAAAAACCAAGCCCAATGTCACTCAAGTTGGATACCCAAAATAATCTGAACCACTCAGAATTCAAGCCCACTTGAAAATGTTGGTCTGTTTCTACATTCTAGATATGATTATTTACTAACTGGTAGCCATAATTGATTTCAGACTTTCACAGAGGTTAGACTTCTGTGGGAATTTTTATTATACAAGCTGGGCGAATCTGCAGAGTTTGTGTTCTTAAAAGAAAACCAGTAAAAATAAAAAGAAATGTTACTCTGAGATGAGAAAAGGACAGAGGCTCCTCAGATCAGTCCCCAAACTAGATCTTGGTACATTTCCTTTAAAGGAATGCAACCAAGAGGAGCTACCAAGAACTGTCACTGAATTCCTGTTACTCATATTTGCCTCTATTTAGCACATAAGTAACTGGCTAAGAAAGTGGAAAACCAGAAGCAGTAGCTGCAGCAACCAAAGGAACCCCTATTACACAAGGTGTAACTTGAATTTTTGTTGTCTTTACTAGTTATCCACCATTTTTCTCATTGACAATAACTGTGGCTAGATTCGTGTGTACTATCGATGGCTGGCTTGACATTGTGGAGGAAGGCACTATACCTGCAGTCTGTGTTGCAAGTACTGTGTTTCTAAGCTCTGCCGTCTGGATAATAACTGTGGATGCACGCCATTAGGGAAGGCAGATACAGTCTCCTGCTGCTGAGAAGCTTCCTCCTGGGAAGAGAAGGCAAGAGCACAGTTTAATTCCTCCAGACAGAAGCTACATTTTCTGCTTAAACCCTTTAGGGAGCTGCTTACAGAGATCTCCATAGCTGCAGTGACTGGGGCTCTAGTGCCACTTGATCTGTGGGGCTCATGGCTCATTTAGTATTTAGATATGATTGTTTAGAATTCTCCTCGATGCCACAATAGAAAAGGCACACAATTGACTAACCTGAAGAAATACAAGGTATTTTCTGACTCATCTGTTCTCAGATCCCAGTGGCACCAGGACAACGTGATCCTGACCCTGTGAATATGTCTGCCTCTTTTCAGAGTTTTAAAACCAAAGCCAAAAGGCTTTTGATACGAATTTTAAAAAAGAGCTACACACACAGTAGGTGTCTCCAACAGGCACAATAGCTGTTGATGTGGCTGGAGAGAGAATGGTTCATTGGTTGGCACCACAACTGAGCTCTGACCTGTCACACTTAATGACACGTTTTTCTGAATGGATTGTGACTCTGGTTTCCAAAGAGTGAGGAGTGGCACCTAAATCTCACAGCGAATTGTGAGAAAGCACTGGGATTATCAGTGCTTCAAAGTTAGTCTCTAGACCATTTTGCAAGGAGTACAATAGGTTCTATTGACCATCCATGCTGATTATTCCCCTGAGCAGGTGGGCCCAACAAGAAAAGATAGAAAGCGCTTATTTACATTTGCTGCCTCCTGTTTTATTACAAACTGGCAAATAAAGGAAACTAGTTGGATTTTGTCCGGCAAAAGAAGGCCGAAGCTGACCAAGTGATGTACCACCAACCATATTTAAAATGACAGGCGGAGGTCAGTTCTGTTACAGCACAGTAACTCCACTGTGGCAGAACAGAATGTAGTTCTATATGCATCTAAAACACACGTCCTTTAGACAAACTAACAATCCGTTGGATCCGAAGAGCCCAGAATACCATCTCACTGGTTCCACAAGGCTGGCAAACACTAACCCATAAGAGCTCAGGACCTGCTCTACTCTCCATTATACAAGTGAGGGGGAGAGGAGCAAATTTAAGCTCTAAATTAATGTCTCTTTTAGGTCTCCCAGTGCATCTCCTCTCTTCATCTGTCTCTTTGAGGAAGGGGCTTGTTTCTGCCTGTGGCTTGTACTGCACCAAACACATTATCAGTGCCTAACACTCACCTGAGGGGGGCTGTTGACAAGATTCTGCAAGTGGGGAGCAGTTGATGTTAGGTTGGGCTCTTCTTCTGATCCCATCTGTTCATATAGCAGCTGGACTTTATTCAGCTCCAGGATTCCTTTGGTTCGTGCCAGATTCTGAAGGTGCTGTCTAAATGCTACAATTCCTGGACAAAATTCAAACAGAACAATGTCAGCGAAGCTATTGCTATTCAGCCAGCTGAACTCTGGCAGGGCCCAGCTGAGCCATATTTCGCCACTAAAGCTTGGGTGAAAGCACACGTGGTACTACGTTTGTGCGTAACTTCTCATGACAACAGTGAAACAGTTACCTTGTGTGAGGGATGTGTCAGATGCCCTGCGCCCTTCTCGGAAACTGACGGGGGAGCGGTTGTGGGCCTCTCGTTTCTGGGAGGTCAGTGCCTGCATGGCTGGATTGGCAGGTCTCAGGCCTATAAAAGGGGGTGTCATTCTGGGTGCTGACTGGTTGGCCAGCACCATTTCTTTCAGTGTAGGAGTGTCCTCAAGGAAGTTAAGATCCCTCTGAAAAGATCCCATATCATATTCTGAGTCAATGCTGCCCAAAGATGGATTCTCATCCAAGGAGTAGACTTTCCCTGTGAGCAATAACAAGCAGCTGATTAAATGAAAAGTGCAGTAATTTAGCAAAGCAAAGCACCACAGGTTGGAGCCATTTTTACCAGCACCGTCTCCAGTGACTGGAATGGAGGAAGTGTAAGAAAAATGCAAGCTTTATAAACACACTAACATTTCCAGCACTGCAATGGGGGTCACACACCTGGTTTTAATACTAAGTTGAAGGCTAAAATAAGTTAAATGGCTTGCTAGCAAGGATACTGTGCTCCCAAAGTGCTTTTCAAACAATCACTTCATTCACCACTGGGGTGAAACATAGAAGCCATTTACAGTGAACAGGTACATTACACAAAATTGGGGACATGAAGATGTGCATTCCACATCCAAATGAAACTTCAGGAGGAATTTAGGGAGGCAGAATGGAATTACCCAAACTGGAACCTAGCAGGGTTAGTGGGAACCAACACTTGTAGAAATGCAATGGAATCTTGAATGGTTAGATGTGGTTATGGACTTGGCTCTATAATCGCGAAAAGACAACAGCTGAGGGCTTTAGCTTTGCTCTAAGACCTCAGTTGAGTACTGACACTGGTAGAATGCCATTAAGTCACCAATCTTGTTTCCTTCACCTCACTCGTTTTCTTGAGGAATTTCCCATTCAAGTACTGTCTAGATTCTGCTCAACTTGGGAGAACTGACAAGATCATAGCCCAACTTGGCATGGCGGCATTCCCGCATTGGCATTGAGCTGCCAGAGAAACTAGTGTTTCTTTCTAGGCACAATCTTCACCTGGGAATTAAATGTTGGGATGGTTAATTATGCTAAAAATGTAACTCATTTAAGTTGCCTGCCACCCTCTACCCTTTCTCCATTGCCATTAGACTGGATACAGTTGTGCTTGCATAGGCCACCTGTGAATTTTCTCCCCCGTCTTCATATCTGCCTCTATTAATTAATAAATAAAAAGCTGCTTTTCTTGATAGTTCTTAATTAAAGACACAAACCAAGCTAGTGTTCTTCATCCAGCATGTAGCAAGCGGGGCTCTTAGAGCCTTAAACAAACTTTTGCAGAGACCTCTACAATTTATGTACCTATGCCTGGCATCATGACAAGCTGGTTGGTCACTTCTGCCAGAGTGTGACGTCTTTTCCCACAGCGGGTTGCTTGGAGGGCTGCAAATGCCTGCGCGGGATCGTCTTCTGATTCGCCTTCTGTCTCTATCCCCTCATCAATAGAGGTTTCCATCATGCTAGTAGGCAGTGACTGGCAGCCTTTCCTAATCACCATAGGGGGCAAGGGATCCAGCAAGCAGCCGTTTACCTAAATGCCCCAGGGAAAAGAAGAAAGACAGCATTCAATTACTAGCATAGAGGCTCCTTGAAGAATAAAATCTCTGCCCTATATTGTGGGACACAGACTGAGACTGACTCAAGGCAGCTTGGATATTCAGTGTCATCTGCGAACTCCTCTGATTTAAATCAGAGACCATTTCAGAGTTCCAAAGTGAGGGTCCAGAAGAGTAGAATCACTGGTCACCTTATTTTTTAGTTAACTTGAGAGATTCCAACAGTAAGTCTTAGTTTCCCTAATACTTGGGGGGAGGGATAGCTCTGTGATTTGAGCATTGGCCTGCTAAACCCAGGGTTGTGAGTTCAATCCTTGAGGGGGCCACTTAGGGATCTGGGGCAAAATCAGTACTTGGTCCTGCTAGTGAAGGCAGGGGGATGGACTCGATGACCTTTCAAGGTCCCTTCCAGTTCTAGGAGATAGGATATCTCCATTTATTATTATTATTATTCTTGTCAAGAGTGTCTCAAAATCTGCTTCAGGCTTAGCCACAAAATATTTACATTTATGAAACACGTGAATTTTGTTCTCTTCAGTCTGTCAGTTGTTTAATTTAGAGTCCGGCAAACAAGCATTTGTAAGACCAAGTTTGCCCTATTTAATTCCGCACTGTCTCTGTAAAACTGAAAACAATAAGTTCTCCTAAGTGTATTTCACAAAGGATCAGCAAACATGCCCTTCCTTGGTTCATGCTTAGAACTGGTCATTTGCATTATAGGTCCATTCCTCTTATCTTGTGTCTGCTCAGTCCAGCTGATGTGGGGGTATCTGGGACTTACAAGGGAAAATGAACAACATCAGTTTGTTCAGATAATTTTACATTTTGATTCCTTAATAGTGAATTGGAAAACGATGGAGCCTGTGTTCATACCATACTATAGCCGGTACTTTATGCAGTATTAAAAAATAGTTTGGTCTCTAAAGTACCCTAGAAGCTGTAAGCAGCTTCCTTTTGTAAGATTGGCCTGGGCTGCTACTTTTTTCTTCTGCCAAGATCAGGGTGGATTAATTTTTTTTTTTTTTTTAAACCCTAGAATTTATTTTAAATGGACTTTTAAAAATTTAAACGAAATAAATTTGTTTTTCAAAATAAGCCCACTTAATTTCAATTTTAATTTAACTTTATGACAACCTATGTTAAGGACTAAATTTACAATAATAAAAATTTAAATAAAAAAAATTCAACAGTACATATTTGCTTCTGGAGTTTTAAAGAAAGTCAAACCACTAAACTGATGGAAGTCACTGGCTAAGCACCTGAACCAGAGTTTGTTGAAGTGCTAAATGGGCTTTTGACAGCAAGTAGCTGCTTCTGCAGGTACAGAGAGAATATTTGTTTTCATTTGTTTATTCAAGTAGTTCAAGTTCAAAATTTACTAGCTCATTCAAAATTGAGAAACTGAATGAGAGTTGAAAAAGCAAGAAAGTGTGTTCTCTCCCCATCTACGAATAAAAATGGAGAGTGAGGATGAGATCTGTTAGAACTAAAATCTTGATGGACGTGGTGACCTGAAAGAATTAGTTCAATTAATTAACTACAGACACTTCCTTAAACAAATCAGTATGTTTCAAATGCAATTTTGATACTTACTTTTTATGTATCCAGCACATGTAACATTTTTAACTCAATGATTCTAAACTTCTTTTCTGTGCATTTTTAAATTAATTCCAATTTCCATACAAATACTGCTTGGCACAAGTCATGAGTAAAAAATTAGAAAATAGACATTTCTTATTTACTAGATATCTAAGATAATAAAGTAGAATTAACATATTCAGGAAAGATGTGGACAAATGGAGAAAGCCCAGAGGAGAGCAACAAAAAGGATTAAAGGTCTAGAAAACATGAGCTATGAGGAAACACTGAAAAAATTGGGTTTGTTTAGTCTGGAAGAAGAGAAAACTGAGGGGAAACGTAAGTTTTCAAATACATAAAAGATTGTTACAAGGAGGAGGGAGAAAAATTGTTCTTGTTAACTGCTGAGGATAGAACAAGAAGCAATGGGCTTAAATTGCAGCAAGGGAGGTTTGGGTTGGACATTGGGAAAAACTTCCTAACTGTCAGGGTAGTTAAGAACTGGAACAAATTGCCTAGGGAAGCGGTGGAATCTTTCAGTGGAGGCTAGGGAATAGTTGTCAAGTGTAGTTCAGGAACCCATCCAGGGTCTAGCTCAGTAGGGATGTCTGGACAAAAGATGAAAGAATAAAGAGGCATCCTTGGGTTTGACATTTCATGGATTTAATAACATTTCCTCATTCTTGGTTTAAGAAGGTTTTAGGAGAAATAATTGAATCCTCTATTCCTGTCTAATACTGAACATTTAATATTACGCTTTTGCCTTTATTATGTACAGTGCTGTAAATCTTCTCCAAACCCTTCAGAGGGAGCTTTCCAACCATTGCCTGGAGTCTGTGAGGTACTCTACTCCTGAATTTTCCTCTTCTGCATTTTCATTTCAAGTCCCTCCAACCAGATAATTACCTCCCTGCTCTTCACTAATCCCCAGACATTTAAGCAGTTGCAATTTTACAAAATGGTGCAGAGTTCTCTACAGAGTTTAGTCTTATCAGATTAACTTCATAATTAGTTAACTGCTGAGCTGTTTTGGGTTGGGCCAATTGCCCACACATCTCTGTGGACTTTGCTTTCTAGTGAAAACCCAGTCAGGTTTTCACTACCTAGGTCTGGGAATGTAATGTCTATACCTGGATAAGGGTTAGAGTGGGGAGCACCCCATAAGCCAGATGATCACTAGATCTAGGAAAAGGGCAGGCATTCAGCTATGCCCAGATGGAGGATCCACAAAGCCCTCCAGATGAGAAATGACTGCCTGGTTGGCTAAAAGATCTGTATGTTTCTGAGAGAGTTACTTCATTTCCATGCTTTCTGGACTCATGGAAAGGAGACTTCAGGGTAAAACTGAAATTCTCTAGTTTATCCAGTCCTGCTTGGATAGAAGCGGAGTCACGTTTTGGGGTGATACCCATGGAAGCTGGGGTTGTCTGTTCTTCACCTCCACAGCTGCACAATGCTAAATGATAGATATTTCTAGGGATAAACTTAGAAGGGGAAGAATGCATTCAGGCTTTACGTAGAGTAAATTTGGATTCAGTTTTATTCTGGACACTTCCGAATATCTTTTGCAATTTAATTCTTAAACTTCCCCCTGTTCTTAAACTCTCAAGTTTCCCGCATAACATTTCCAACCTGTTTTAAAACCCACTTGAGCAAGCAGCTTGGTGCCAGAAACAGGTTATTTCTGAATCTGTGGAATCCCTGTACTCTCCTTCACACCATTCCTGCAAGCCACCAAGTTGTAAGCACCTTCTTTCTGATTGTGGACAAGGCAGGATGCCCTCTGAAGTCCAACTGTGCTGCTCCTTAGTCATTTGGGGATCACTGGGTGAAATGAGGTGCTCCTACTGACCCAAGGAATGAGACTGGGACTATTTTCTGGCATGGCAGTGCATAGCATTAACTACAAGGGCCATCACCAGAGACTTTGATTTCATAGAGTTGCTTTTTTTAAATACAGGGATCGCTAGTGTCTCTCCCCAGTCCTGACTGAAGAGTCTAATGGGTGACTGCATTACAAGAAGGGGCTTTTATATGCACTTCCAGCTGGTGCAATTTAATACTGAACTAATATAATTTTGTGACCGTAACAGAAAAGTTCAGCGGTCAATGAGATGCCAACGCCACGCGGCAGAAGCATTGGTTCTGTTCAATAGGAAAAATTTAAATGTCCCCAGTTAGTCAGTTTTACAATAATATGGGGAAGGTCATCCCTATTGACTGAGTTTTCCTTGCAATGCTATAAACTTGAATGAAAGTTTTGCACATGGTCCTGAGCACAGTGCAGACGTTCCCACTACACACTGGAATTCAGTTGGCCATTCTGTAGAACTAGCATAACTTCCTAGTTATTAAACACAAGAGAAGATAACAAATGACCAGTCTTTGTGTGCCTTCTCCCAGAGTTTAACCGCTAGTAGCGGGGCCTCTGAGGAGTCAGATAGCAATGTCAAATGCAGGGATGCAATTCCTGCCACTGTTTTTGCAGGGGTAGAGGATGCATGCCTCCTCTCCACAAGGAAGCCTGAAAACAGAAAAGCATTAGTGACACCTGAGGCCTTGCTAGAGGCATTGCCAACACAACCTCCAGCAGTTAAATCTGCATGGAAGGCAAAATGCCGGGCCCTACAGCCTGTCTTGACCGGTAAAGTGTGTGGCTTTCAACTGAGTTAGCTGACCAAAACTGAAAAGCTCTCAATGCTTATGTAAGATCCGGGCTAACAAGCCTGAAAGCATGCTAGTTAGCTTCTTGTAGCCTACGCTACCTCTCTAGCTACAACATGGCCTGCTAAATGTCTTCAGCCCAGGGTGGATTGATTTGAATCAGCTAGTTTAGGGTTACCATTCGTCCAGATTCCCCCGGACATGTCCGGCTTTTAGAGATAAAAATAGCGTCTGGGGGAATCTGTAAATGTCCGGACTCCTTCCCCCCCCATGCAGAGCGCGCGCGGCTGACAGGGCAGCCGGCCAGATGGTGCCACTTACGTGGGGCTCCGACAGCCAGAGAGAGCCCCTCCTCTGCTTCCCCCTCCTCCGCTTCCCCTGCAGCTGAGATCACTTACTCCCTCCCCCCTCTCCCTCCCTGCATTCGCAGATCACCAGCCGGCAGTCTGGAGCTCCTCCCCCTGCTCCTCCTCCCCGGCACGCTGGTCTGAGCGGCAGGGTAAGG